AAAAAGGAAAGAAAAAAGAAAGGAAAAAGAAAAGGAAAGAGGAAAGGATTTGTGTGGCATTCTAAATATTTTAAATATATCTGGGAGGATTAAACATTATTAAGGAAAACATAATTTATGTTGAAATTAACAAAAATTATAAAATACATATGCCTAAAACCTTGGACATATTTTATATATAACATTTTTGATAATATTTTAAATATAAAATTATTTAATTAATTTTCTAAGATATTATTCTAAATTTTAATTCTTAATTTTAATTCTTAATTATACCAGAAGAACCCATAACCTTTAAAAACGTAGGATATTTAAAAAAACCAGGTTCTTGGGAGAAAATCCGAGGTTTTGATTTTACTGAATTTTGGTATTATTTATTATTTATATAATCCATGATATTTGTGCACAAATCACTGATGCAGCCTGTTGCAAAACACTTGCCAATGAGATGCAACGCATCTCATAGATTACAAAGATTTCATAAATTCCAAGAATGAAGCACTGCAACTTTTTCAACCCTTCGCCCAGCATTACCAAGTGCAATCACCAAATGATAAACCCCTCTGCGCGCCAGTGGGCATGGCATGCCTTTAGCACTCTTTCCAACGTTCTAACTATGACCTGTGGCGGTCCGCATTTTCTGCTTATTCGACTGGTCTTTCCAACCCAGTCCTCGCTGATTTGAACCGAATGGTTCAACGGGTTCAGGAAATGTTGAACCCCGGGGAAATTCACCAAATCTGCTTTGAGTTCAGAAAAAATATGATCCAGACTGTGCCCTTTGGGCATGTATGGAAAGTAAGCCCTGTGGCTTCTGTAGCTCTGCGTCGCCAACTCCTTGTATCCATGGAGAGCAGCAAGGCCAAGAGTGGCGACCTGTTCTGCGCAAGTGCGATCCAGCCAAACATCAGACCCATACATGAGGCGCAGGCATGCGCTCATATTTCTGCAAGTCTGAAGAGCAAGCTTGATAAGACCATCATCTCCAAAGTCTTGTTGTGATGCCCAGCTTTGGAAAAAGGAGCACAAAGCCGTTGTGATGTGCCCCTTGCTCCATTGCCCGTTTGGGAACGTGCTTCGGTCGGGCCAGCCAAGATTCGCTTTGGTGATGGAGTAGATGTGGGCGCTCACATGGCTTTCCTCACACCATGTGAGCCACAGGGTCGACAATTGTTCAAGGCGGTCATCCACATTGCTTGCCCACATATAGTCACTTGCCAAAGCTAGACATCCAGCCACCAGCGACTTGCCCATCCCAAGGTGGTAGGAGTGAAAGAGGTCGTACACATAGAAGCTGGGTCTTTGGCCTGGAATGTATGGAATTTGGTTGAGAGCCGGCTCCCCGTCAAAAGGGCTTTGGACATTGCGTGTGCCCCACCAAGAAGGAAACCCGTTTGGGTCATAGTTTTCCCACACTACACCTCGCTGGCCTGCTTGGCACAAGTGGCAGATTCCTTTTGGAACCGTTCGTGCTGTTTCGGGCCTTTTCTGGCAATTGCTGTAGCTCCTGTTGAGCTGTCCAGCTTTTACCAGCCATTGCCAATCTCCGCAGATCTGCAAGCAACAAGCAGTGTAGACATTGCCTTGAGCATCTCGCACCCCTTCTTCCAAAATGCCACATACATCGTCTGCCACGAATTGCAAGATGGCATGTAGCGCTTACTCGTCCTTCACCATTTTTGGCAGGACGCTCGTTATGAGCCTGTGCAGGTAAGTTGAACCTCCGTAGTTCAAGCGCATTGAAACATAGGGTTTTTTTTTCCGAAGCCGGTTTGCTTCAGCTGTTCCAAACCCCAGGTAATTGTACCAGCTCACCACCAGAAATCCCTGTCGCTTGCGATCACGTCCTTCATCTCCATGGCACATCAATGGTGCACATCTCGACAAGTCTACCTGGCCTGAGTCGGTACGTTGCCAAAGGGAATGCGAAGGTCTCAGTTCGCGATACCGCCTCCAGAATTCAGTCAAGATTTTCTGTTCTCGGGGCTTGTCTGAGCTCCGAAGGCCGCACAGCAGGTACCACACATTCATCTGCACGATGAATTGGATCCAAGCTTTGAGGCTCAGTACTTTGATTTCTCCAGTGTACATCATCCCTGGCAGCTTGGGAATGGTGGTCATCGGTATCGGCAGCGCAAGGTGGTATTGGCCCACCATAACGCGATACACATCACGTTCTGAATGGGACTCGCTGCACTTGGCCAAGGCTGCAAGTCCTGGTGACTTTTCAGCTCCCTTTTCACCAATATCAGCCACTACTCCTGCAGCATTTCTGATAGCGGCACGGCATGAAGAAGCCTTAGGCCGCAAGATGCACAGACACAAGGAATTATCTGTGTCCTATATAGATATATTTGAATTGCACAATGTTTGGAACTCACTCGCTTGAAACTTTTGCATGCTTTCCGACTGCATTTCCATTTTTCCCCGGAAGCCTGAAGAATGCAGGCTAGCTAGCCACTTGGATACGCAAACTTTCAGCACAACCCATGCGCAAGCATTGTCACCTTACAATTGCATAAGTTTATAACATAGGATATGGGTTCTTCTGGAATATATCGAATGTATAGTATAAACAGAGAGGGTATCTGTGATATATGAAATATATACCATTTTGAATACCGTTAATCATGCTTGTGCTGGCTGTGTCCAAAAGGCAACGTTGAAGTTACACCCGTGAAACAGTTTAGGCCTTCGGCTTCTCTTTGAAAGACCTATAAACAACATAACACATATAGGTATTCCACTCAAAGTTTTTGAGCTGGACATTGTCGCCACCGGACTTGATGTTCCGGCAGCCTGGCTTACCTTGGCATGGCAGTGGCTTTGATGTCATTGGTGTATGCCAAACATGTTCGCACATCCAAAAAATACATCGGAAAATGCAGTGTGCATGCAATGTAAATCATATATATAGTCAAGATACTGCCATATTTTTCTATCAAAGCAGCTTCCAGCATAGACACGGAGTAGGATTCATCGCTCACGTAGAGAACACACAGGGTTGTCCATTTTTCTTTTGCTGTATATTGCACCAACGAAAAACAGGGTCGTGACAGAACCCGACTTTGAATATCATTGGGTAATGTTTCGCAAACAAAATTTCCATCGATCCCACTGCACGTTTGAGAACAACACCCGAAGTTGAATGTAGGGGAGGCAACTTGAAGTCTATGCAGTGGAGGATGTCTTGCAGGCCTGGAGTTGATGCCAAATTGGAAGGGAACAAAGCCCACCATGTAGACACCTTGTCAAGACTCCTGGAACACGGCCTGACAGAAGGACATGCAGCTGCACACTTAATATTTCCATTTTGAGTCCGTTTTGTCGATGCCCGGAAGGCGCTGTTAATTTCCAGAGCGCTCTCCCATGCGTATGGGCCCTCAGAAGCCTTGGTGGATCTTGGTTTGTGTTATAGATCAAGCATATATATGCTATATATGAAACAAAATATCAATACTATATACCAGTCGTATATCTGACAGTCTGAACGGTGGCATATCAATAGATCTAGCAACTCCTCTTCCGGCGTTTCCCCGGAACCATCGCCCATAGCCACAAACCGAGGGAAAGATCACACATCGCATGGATGCATGTGCTATGAGTCGAGTTGTCATGTTGATCTGTCTCCGCATTGAAGAATGGGAGTTATTTATGTCAAGGAATCTGGCTGCCCCCAAAATGTTTGTAGGTGCAAGGTGCAGGAATAGATCTGATTTATATAATTTTATATATAGTTGCATTTGGGCCACATGTTGTGGATGGTCAAGTGTGCAAAAAATACACACTGATTTGTGTTGATATGTTTTCAAACTATCACGCTAAGGTGGCAACCCCTTCTCCAATGTCTTTGGCGAAGGTTTGCAGGGCCTTTCCGGCACCTGGCTCAGTTGAATGGGCCGACATATGAAACAATGTTTGTGTAAAACTGCATGCTCCCGCGTCAAAACCACATACTGCATGGATGGGCAAACTAACATTTTTTTTTCCGTCTTCAGCCCCAAGTTTCGCTGGTTTCCAACAAGCGCTGCAAGAACACTTTAAGATTGAACACTGCAGGTCAGTGTCGAGACATCTATATATGTTCTGTCAAAGCAGCACGGGTCACATTGCAAATTGGTTCGCCAAAAGAAATCATTTCCATATTAGGCTGCAGGTTGTGTAGCCTGTAATTTTCTTGCACAGGTTTCCCACAGCTGCCCCAAAGTAAACATCAACATGTGATCCTTTGGATCAATTTTTTTGTTTCCTGCTCTTTCTGGGAGGGGGAGCAGACTCAGTCGTGTCAGGTTCCTGAGCACGCTTCTTTTCAGTTCCCGTGTTCACGTTCTTACCCGGCTTACCCGACTCCTCTGCTTTGTTGTCCTTCTTCTCATATCGCTTGGCATTCCTGCGGTTGCAAAAATAGAAACATGGAAACTTGATTCTTGGTTATTGAGGCCAGGACTGGATTTTCTTCTCGATTGCCGACGCTTTGCCAGCCCTGTATGGAGGCATGGAGAGCTGTGGGAGGATAGATAAAATGCTATAGAAAGCCAATGTCCAGAAAAATAAGGTCCCAACACTATGGTAGCAGCCTTCATGCAGTCAGTGGCCTTTGACACAAACCTGGGAAGAATGTCGCACCATCAGAGGAGAGATGTCTATAGGATACCGGATTAACTTGAAGTCTGAACTATAGATGTGTTTGTGTATTCAACTTCAACATTTTTAAACCAAGAAACCCATCCTTCCAAAGAGAGTTTTCACCCGTGGAGTAAACCAATTGGCACCTGTCGTACTCGGCATCCATTTCGCCCAGGCCTTTCTGCAAGGATGCGATGTACCTCAGGCCAGCAGCCGAAATGGGCACGATATATTTAAACTCATTAAAGGGTGCACACTATATATATTTATATAGGTTTCGCAAATGCGTTGCATGACAAAAATTGTTCCTCTGTTCTATCCAGGCACCCTGTGGTGCTTTCGCATTCTGAGTAGTTCTCCCGCAAGTTACGGACAAGGGAGCGAAGCTTCCCACTCTTTTGCAGCAAGGAATCCAGAAATTTCTTCAATTTCGTGGCAATCTAGCGAGTGAAACATCAAGGGGTTATTCAAAACCACCACATTTCCACATCCTGAGATTGAGAATAACTGTGTTAACCTCAATTTCCAAAACGATATATTGCGTGTGAAATCAACAGGTCACAGGCCCAGCCTCTTGCTCTTGGCCTCCCGAGGTATCGACTGCATCTTTGGGCAGAGCCTTGTCAGCCGCAAGCCTAGCATCCATGGCCGCGATCTTTGAGAAAGCTTCGGGGTCCAGCACCGGAGCTTCATCCGCCTGGTGAGAATGGTTTGAACCATTGCCATGTAAAGGTATTTCATGAGAATACAAGTGTGCATTGTTCCGTTTTTGAAATTATATTCGCTCATGTATATATATGAAGCATTGCTTTTCCCAAATATGATAAATATGAAGTGTATATATAGCTGTATGACCATGCCTTGCCAATCTTGCGGTGAATCTCTTCCTGAGACTTTTCCTCTTGCCGGGAACCTTTCTCACGAAGGACCACCAGGTACTCAGTAACTCCATCATACTGATTTTTCCTCCCGACAACATGAACTCATACAAACTCCGATAATGTAACATAAAATCATTTGCACCGTTTTGCACATACCTTTTTTCATTGCACAATGGGCAAACTGACAGAGCCTTTCATATATAGCCCTGCCATGCATAACAGGAATCATGAAATTTATATATACCCATGGAATCGTTGAATATACAATTGAGTTCGTATATAGAAGCATGCATTGCTGCTACCCTTGACTCCTGACATGGGTGTCAGCTTTGGCTTCCGAGACTTTCTTCGTACCCTGGATTCGAAGCCTCAGGCAGTCTTCGTGTCCAGGTTCATTTGATTTATATTAAATTGAAAAACATGGACATATATAGTATATATATATTTACTCGATACCCATGTATAAAATATCAATTTCAGCTGCTAAGTAACGGTGACCATTTCAACTCATCACGGAGTTCTTTTTCTGACATCCACTGCTCTTCCACCACCACAGTGACGGTGTTCTTTTGCTTCACCACTATCTCCAGTTGCAGGATGAACTTTTCCTGCAAAGAAGTTGTGCCATGCAATCTTTTATATACTATATATAGTAGAGATAATTGGAACTGCAGATACCTGCAGATTATATAGAATAGCAGATATCTTCATGCTATATGATTCTCATGTCTTATTGGCCACCCATTAAATTTTCACAAGTTACAATTACAACACATAACACACACACAAGGTAAAATATATACGCATGGTCCTTGTCCCAGTTTGCATCCATAAGTAGCCTTGCCATGGCATTTTGTTCTCTCTTCTTCCACTGCTCTTTGACCCAATCCGGAACGTTGAGCCCTCGTTTCTTTTTGTGATCCGCGCACATCCTTCGCAACCTGGCTTTGGCTGCTTCTCGCAATTTCTCCTGCCCAGTAAGAAGCTAGTTGTGAAAACCGGCATGAATTCAAAACTAAGAATCCTGTTAATTCAAAACTATCGTTATATATGTACATCTTTGTTCTCTCAGTGTGTCTCTCTCTCTCTCTCTCTCCATCCCCATCTCTCCTGGCGGGTCAAGGATCGTTTCTTGGATGTCTGCCCTGGCGGCGCTGGTGGCGGCATCATCGTAGCATCAACCTGGGAAGCTGGATTGACAATGACCCCCTTTTTTCACTAAAATAGGCTCATGCTAGAATGACTGACCTTTACATAAATATTGAAGCCTGTTTCAAGTATACTTGATTTCTTGGTTTCCAGCCTGTGTATTGTCAGCATCATCGGTATCGGTATCTCCACAAGCTGGAGAAGCAATGGGTCTGGTTCCCCGAGCCTCCCATAGAAAGATGTGAAATCAAAAGATTTGTCCAAGCCTCCCAAGATTGGCCCAGGCCTCTGGTGGCAAAGCAGTCTCGGCATCTTCAGGAGGAGCAACGGTGGTCTTGAGACCAGCAGCCGCCAATTGCTTTGCTGTTGCCTGGAAATAAATTTCTAAAAATTTTCCATGGATGATCAGATAAGGAACTATATAATTTAATACCATATTGCAGAAATTTATATAAGACCCAATTAACTTTGTTATGTGCCTGGTGCCGCTTGGAAATATCCCACCTCCAGGGTCTCAGCGCTTGACATGTCGTCTGGAATCTCAATGGTGGGCACCTGGCCAGAATTCAGAGGGAGGAGAATCCACAAAATTATTTGGAGGGTAATTTGGGCCCTCCATAGGACAACCATGCATAAGATAGAAAACCGGGCACCTGGTCGGTCACAGCGGTGGATGCCAGTTTTGCAGCTTCCATAGCCTCCAGAGGCAGAAAGCGTGTTGAGATTCAGATTGACCACTTATCATTATATAAAAATTTGACCGGTGATTTTCTTTCATGGATATGTGAAATGCAGTGAGATTGTACATGATGCTGTGAATTTCCCTTAAAGATCTTAAGGTCTAAAACCCGGTGGAAAAAGAACAGGGGCGCCTGAATCTGCAATTCTAGCTCCTTCTCTTCTTGCTCCAACTTGGCCGCTTTATCTGAGACATGGTTCACGCCCTCTTGGAGCGTATCACAGTTCCACACACGAGAAGACGTGGCAGCCACGGACATGTCCGGTCAGCCACTGGTGCCCTATGCTTCTTGATATAAAATGCTTTGAAGAAGAATTTTGGCAATGTAGAATGGCAAGACTTTGACCAATCTCATCCTTTTTGATAAAAAAAGCCAAAATGTAAGCGTTGTTTTTCTTCACCCTTTGATCACTGCCCCGAGGATGCATGTTCGGCATCATTGTGTGCAAATGAATTGCATGAGCTGCTTCAAAAAGGCCGTTTTGGCCCACTTAGATTGCCCTCAAAAACCATATAAAAAACCCATCTTTTTTCTACGGGTTTCTACGGGTTTCTACGGGTTCCTACGGGTTTTCTACGGGTTTCCTACGGTTTAAAAAAACCGGGGTTTTCCTAGAAAACTACGTTTTACGGGTTTCTACGGGATTTCTACGGGTTCCCTACGGGTTTTCTACGGGTTCTAGATTCAGGCCCCAAAAACCATCAAAAAAATTCATTTGGGCGAACAAAGATTGATAAAATTCACCAAAGCAGAATCAAATTTGGGTTTCTATCTCCATAATCCGGCTCCCAGACCTAGAAAAGGTCACCGCGTGGACATAGAAATTCACAAAGTTGCAAAGAAAATTGTATATTCAGATTTGGGGACCCTCCACGCAATGACCCTTTGCTTCTGTTTGGCTTTTGAAGGCAAACCAGCATGTATCTACGCTAAGCTACTTAGGTTTTGGCATGAGGTGACTCCATTCAGCTGGAATGACCAAACCCTTGTTCCTTTTCAAGTAGCTGAAAATTTCCTCCAATTTGGCGAAGCCAAGGTCGAAGCCCTCTTCCGGAAGGGCTGCAAACGACTGCTGGGCTGGTGGAAGAGGCCCCGACTCTGGAAGTGGTGGTTGACCACATGCTGATGAAACGAGGTCATCGTATAAATCGACAAGGCATCGCCCAAACTTCACAGTGTACTCCCTGAGAATTCAAAATTGGAATTCAAGAAACCCAGACATATCATGGTGCTGATCCCTTGTGTTGAAGTCAATTTCATATATTTATGGAAAATCTTTGCGCAATTTAATGGGGGTTTAAAGGCTCAACCCAAAGTACATAGTTTTGATCTTCATGGTTTTATATAAACGAAAATGGTGCTTTAGTGTATTTCGATCTTGTAGGAAAAAAGGGTGGAAAACAATTGCCCAACCAATACCCAGGATCTCAGTTTTCTTGAGGGCTGCGGTCCCCTTGTACCAAGTCTTTCCACTTTTGGATTTGTAAGACACTGCTGTTTGAACCTTTTGTCGGTTGCCACCCCGATTCTTCCATTGCAAAACACCTTTGTCCAACATACGAATGTATGGAGAATTGCTGTATCCGAAGTGGCGTTTCGGTGTCGCTGAAGCATAGTGCGCCATCCACCATCCGACTCGAAATACCTGGATGGACAAACAAAGGTTCTTGTTGTCATGGGGCTATATATGTAAAATTTCTATATATAGGAAAAATTAGGAAATATATAAACATCCGATTGGTGCAAAATTATTTGCTGAATTGAATTGTATGCTGCTGCACTTTGACATCGCATCCTGTAAAGAAGATCCAGGAATTCATTGAACATTGGATAGAACTCAAGGTGTGAGTTTCGGGGTTGCTCCAGCCCGAAGGTCCCTCCGAGAATCCCCACCAAAATCATCAAGTAAATGGTCCTTAATTGAAGGCAATAAGATACGGGTCAGGTGTTTCGGGATGACTCTTTGTAACCCCCATAACCAGGTAAACATAAATTACATGTTCCCCTTATTTCAGAGTTGGGAATCCTTTGCCAGTTGAGGTAAAACATAAACAGAAAAATCAATGACATTTATATAAAGATGTATACATTTCATTGTATTCTGGTGGAAATCCCAAATTGCCATTTTGAAAAACATATATAGTTTCCTGATATGAAATTTAAAGGGAAAGGTCCGCTCCAACATTGCATTGCTGGTCGAAACAGAGGCATACTCGTCAAAGCCTACAGAGGCACATGGGCACCGGTGTGAAGTCCCGGCATTGATCGAGGTCCACGAAGCATACTTAATGGCAAACATAGCCAGGAATTTGTCAAAGCGACACTTGAGAATTGAGGCGATGCATACCCTGATCTGGTTGAAAATTGATTCAGAACATTACCCATGTATGTAATTCAGTTGGTCCATACCCATTTATAATTTGGTGGTTTTCACGAACAGTAAATAAAAAGCTTCATCGACCACATATATAGATAAGGGGCGCACACCCTGAGGAACTTAAGATGTCCATGGGATCACTCGAGCGGAGTCGTTTACGACCTGGTTTGACCTTGACATCATATTTGATGTCCAAAGACCCGGTTCTCATACCACTCAGCTTCATGCACCGAGAAAGGTTGGCTTTGCCAGCATAGAACTCCAACATGTCATAGGATTGGCGAAACATGATTGGAACCAGAATTTGGGACAAACAGTTCTTCAAGATTTCCAGAGATTATCAAATTTGTGAACCACTGTTTTGTTTTTTTTTTGGGTTTTGTCACACATGATGGCTCCCTCCAAAAGAATGGCAAAAGGCTTACGAAATGGTGTTCTTATAAATTCAATGGAGTGTGATTGTACAAGTGGAGTGTGAAAGTCACAAAGTTCTGGCCCTTTTCCCTTGTCCATTCCATAGTTTATCCACCCGTTTGGAAAACCTCGTCCAAATCCAGATCGGAGGTCCAAAGAATACAAAGGATGCAGGCGGCAAAGACCTTGCAGGCGGAACATGCTCCCAGCAGCGCTGGAAGAGGGAAACAACATGAAACCAATTAACATCCAATTAATATATAATTAATCAAACACTCATTTCTATATAGATCTCAGGTTCCTACCTTAGGACACTTCATTTTGCCGAGGGAATACATCAAAGCATCTAGATCCAAGCGCTCGGAAATGGGCATGGCTTTCTGGTGGCACACGACCCAGCTACTTACCACTTAAGATTTGACCTGACCCCCAAAAAGGCTGCGGAAAGAGATACAGAGAGAGAGGGAGAGAAAATGGCTCCAATCGAATCACATTGCATGCGCATTTTCCGAGAATATTCCCCCATCCTTGTGAATGGCCCTACAATTCTGCATGTTTGCAATCATTTTTCGATCCACTCCAACAAAAAAATCATGCCAGTGTTTCGAGATTTCCCTTTCTTCGTGAAGCTTGACCTGACTTTGAACAAGCTTCCCCGCCAGGCCGGCATGTCAATGCCATCAGCACCACACCTGTGCCAGGAGCTGTTGGTTAATTGGACTGGAGAATCTATATGGGTGTATATACTTATATACATGGTGCGTACTATACATGTGGGGATGATGGTTTGTGAGCTGAAGATGTCCATCTATCATATATATATAGAGCCTTCTGTTTCAATTGTTCGATGATGGGAGGATCGATGTAAAAAATCATGATCTCAATTTATCCTGTGGCATTGGAAAGGGCGGTCAGCTTACTTTTCCTTTTGCAACGAGCCAGGACAGCTAACATCAGAAGTCTTGACAGCAATGCCCCATGTACAGGTGTACCCACCGTCCAGTTTGCTGCAACTCTACATGATGCGACATATACCTTTCAAACTATTTCAAAATCACACAATTTATCTTGGATTGTGATGATTATCTCAAACCACCACTTGGTTCTAGGCAGGTACCCTGTAAACCCAGTTGTTTGTCACGGACTTTGAACAGTAAGCTGCTTGGGTTCCATTCAGAACCTCAAAGTATACACCAAAGTTTGCTATGATCTCAAGTTTGCGTTTCAAAAGTAGGCATGCTGTAGCCTATGGTCTTGCGATTCATCGACCTGATGAACCAGCTTTGTTCATGTCCCAAATGCACCCTGGACCCTCAGTCGGAGTCCAAGTCCAAATCATTCTCAGCTTCATTGGCAAAGAAGAACAAAGCCAAATTGGCATTCATTTTCAACTTACTGATTTCTTCACCACCCTTCTCATAGCCGGGCCAATCAGCATCAATGCCCTGAGCCTGGGCGGGAATAAATATACCATCCAACCCCATATTTTTTTTTATGTTTCTTAAGATTACATAGGTTGGCCCACCATCTATCAATCCGTAACATGGCTACCAGATTCCCAGATGAATTTACTTACCTTCAAAAACCATTTGATCAATATGAATCCCCGATTTGAGAAAGGGTTTAAAAAGGGCTTGGCACATGGGAACGGCTGAATGTATCTGCGAAGCGCATGGGAAACTATAAAGGTGTATATTTTTTAACAGTTAACTTAAACCAAGTAACTGCCAGTTCTGCACAGCGCACGGCTATGGCTAGCTTGTATCTCCGAGGGGCACTGCTCGCATTGAAGGTGAAGGTCATGGTATCTACATAGGTGTTATCATCCATTTGTAACACCTTCACACCACACCCATTGCGTGACCAATAGGGCATGAGCTTGGTCCATTCGAGGGGTGACATGGCTTCGAGAATGTTTTTCTTCAGCTTTGGGAGGTCATGTTCCAAAGCCTCAGGAAACTGCATGGCAAATTTCATCAAATCTTTCACCGTGTCATTGTCGCGCAATGGGTTCGCAGGCAACTCAAAGCCTGGTTTGCGAGGAGTCCTGCCTCGTTTCTTTTCAGGCTTCTCAGCATCCTTCTTGATGGGTTTGTTCGCCTTTGGCTTGGCAGCGTTCTTAGGGGAAGCTTTTGCTTTGGCTTTTCCATGAGCTGCAGGTTTCTCTGGCTTGGCACTGGTCTTTGCTTTGGTTCTGGGGGTGCGTGCGCGCGTCCTAGAAGCGTCCGCGTCAGTACCATCATCAGCATTGTTCTCATCATTTTTTGTTTTTCGAGTTTTCCTACTACCGGCCGCTGCCTTGCTAGATCCGGCAGACGCCAAAATCTCTCGCTTTCTGGATTTGGATTTCATTGGGCTGGTTGCTTTCTTGGCTTTCCCTTTGATCCCTTTCTTGCTCTGTTTTTTGTTTTTCTTTCCATTCCTCTTCCTGGATCCAGCATCCTTCTGGCTCCTCTTCATGGTCAGCTGGTCATTCCTGGTGACGTAGTCGTCTGCTTTCTCCTGGCGAGGAAACGGATGAACATATATACATCTTAATTTGTATAGTGTGTTTTGATATACATCTTAAATTTGTGTTTTAATAAACATGCATAAACATGCCTGTGTTTATATGCATCTTTGTGTTTGTGTATTTGTACGTCCCCACGTTTAACCAAATCACCTTGAACATTGTTACCCACCCATAGCCTTCTTCTTCTTCTTGGAATCGCCAGCCGGCTTGACATCAGGAGATCCAGCGACGGCACCAGTGGAAGAGGGGCACTCACTGGCAGGACTGCATGGTTTGCTTAACTGCTGGTACTGGGTTCTCCGCTCATCTGAAGTGATCTCTGGGGAATTGGACGGGTCGGGCGAAGGAACAGATCCCACAGCCATGGTAGCCTTCTCCACCTGAGAGTCTGACATAGGACACGTATCCATGGCATCCGTGGCCAATCCACCTTCCGGGCACTGCAGATGGGTATGTAAATATCCCTATATATATGATTATATATGCACATATACACCTACACCATGTGAAGAAAGCTGATGGGATTAAAAATAAATTGCATTGCCTGTCACTGACCCATGTATGCACCAAGTCTATATATGATAATTATAAAAAGATTTGCTTATTCATATAAAGGCCAAGCCTGTGGCTGGCAAAGCCGGGGCAGGAGGTGGAACAGCTTTCGCCTGTTCCAATGCAGCTCTTCTCACACGAATCCTAGGAGTAGGACCCGGGAACTCCATGTGTTTATGGATCGAGGGTTTGAGTAAAAGTTGGAACATGTTTCATAAGCCAGTTGATTGTTGAAAAAAAAGGTATCAAAAACGATTGGACATCCAAATCAATGACTGGAGGACCACTGGGTCCCCAACTCTTCCAAGCGTTTCTTTGCTTGCTCCAATTTCGCGATCTCATCTGCATCGACTTGGTTGTCAACTCCTGCATGGCTCATAAGCACCATGGATAAGAACCCTCCCAGTTTTCCTGTATATTTATTTAGATCGATCGTATATGGCATCCTATCCTACATTGGCATCCCATGTATTGGCATCCTAAGAAGAGGGGTGTAATATGGCAACCCCAATCCTGCACTGCCAGACGGACTTGGGCCAACTGCCACAGGAGAAGGTTTTGGTGCAACAGAAAGTGCCGCAGAAGGTGCTGCAGGCTCTGGGGTCACTGAAGGGAGCTGGTTGCCACGAGATGGATCAGGTGGCGACACATGTGAATCAGCCATCGCACCGGTGCCATCAGCGTCAGGGTCATCAGAATCGTATGCATCATCAGCTGGAAGTTCCTGCAAAGCTGGACATGAAAAATCCCAGACTGTTTTGGGACTCAATATTATATGTTTTGTACAAATATACCGAAGATTTCCATTCTTTCACATTGATATCACATGTGCAAACATGGGACACCCATCAGTGTTCAGCATAATGTTTTACATACCTTATGTACGGAACAGCCATCCAGAACAGACACACGCCTTGGTCTGAGCAGCGGCTTCGCGAGCCCTTTTCTTCTCCTCCTGCGCCTGATTGATCTCTTTGCACAGGTCCTGCATGACTGGACAAATAGAGCGACTACCACAGCTTGAGGACCACATGGTGGTGCAGAGGGGGATTGGTTTTTTTCCTTAAATAAATTGGTGACCCTTTCCAATTTCCAAAAAAAAAAGTCTCCTCAAGCAAAGGGTTCAGGATCAGCACCAGCTCCTGGAATCGCTTGTCCTGAGATGGCCAGGTCTCCAAGGGGATTTGCATGGAAAATCATTGGAAAGAATTGGTTTTCATGGACCATTGTATTTCGTGCATATAATTTTTTAAAGGGGTCAATTAAGACGGACCCTTTAAAACACTAGAAAACAACCAACCATTATAGTATAAAAATATATTTCTAATTTCTAGGCGAAGGTCAGTGGAAGGTTGTTCCTTCCGTACCTTCATCTTCACCAATCCCAGATACTTCCGTGTCATCCAGCTATCATGGACAATCTGGGCAGGTTCAACTTGCTTGGAGAACATCTGATACAAACCAGAAATTTCATCTCGTAGTGGGTCTACAAGAGGCTGCAATTTCTGATCCGTTTCTGCCATCCGTAGGAGCAAAGGTTGAAGGTATCCATGGATCCAAGGTGAACAGGTATTCTTGACATTCTCGGACTTATCTTTCTCAAAGATCACTGCCCCCTCACCACGAAGATGGACCCGGAGGGCTTCACACCGCTCCCACTCCGATCCAATCCCAGTGATTTGAAGCCCTTTGGATTGACCCTGGTCATCCAAGGAATCACCGCTCATGGCTGTATACCAAAACCTATATAATTATATAGGTCCTCCAGCTTTGTCAAAAGACGGGCCAAATGCTTTGGGCATGCGTGACACGTACAGAATTGTCTTTGCAAAAATGATTGGTTGAATTTCATGTTTCGATCGTCAAAATCATATTGTAAATTGATTTATGTACATACGGGCCCTTGGGCCATGATATATGATTGTTACCATGCAGAAACCTGTACCCCCAAAAGAATCCTTTGGTTTTGAAATTCCTGACTTGGCCCCAGCAGCATTGCCAGGACCAACCGGTGAATCGCGCCTCAAACTCCGAGAGAGCTTTTGGCAAGCTTGCCATCACTGCGCAAAAAAATTGAACGGTTCATGCTGCTCTGTAGGTAAAGCACAGCTGTTTGAAATTGAAATTCAGGATCCCGAGTCCCGAGAAACAACTTTTCTTTCCGAGTCCACATCATGATTTCACATCATGTTTTTTTTCAATTCCGTTTGTATAAGGTATATGTTTGCCTGATCTTGCTTTGTACTGAATCTGATTGGCATAAGGCCACCATATATATTGCCATGGTTGTACACCTTTTATAGCATTGCACATGTATTTTGCGTATGTTGCATTTATCTCATCAATAAGATTCAGCATTTCGGTGTTTGAGCCTCCCCATGTCTATAGCAAGAGATGGCGCAATTCCACCACAATTATTAAAAAAATGTTTCTCAAACCCATTTTTGAGACATTGTTGTGAAAACCCAGGTTTTTCAATGGAAACCCAGGTTATTCAATGAGCAAGTCAGAATAGACGAGTTTTGGATTCGCGACCTACAAATTCGTAGGTTCAAGGCTCCCAAGGTATATATTTATTTTTATGCATATATAATATACAAATGAAAAATCGAGAGAATTATGAATAAGCTCTCCTTCCTTGTGGTAAATTGTTATTTCATAAAAATAACGTAATTATAATTATATGTGTGTGTGAGTGTGTGTATCAAATTGAATTCTTTCTATATAAGTGGTGTGGTATTAATCGCTGGGATGACGATATAGCGGGCAGCGAGTGAAAGGAAACCTCCCATGAAATTGGATTTATATACAATTATTTATATAAAATAATAAATTTATATAATCCTTTACACCATGTATTTTATTTTTAAAAAAAATGCAACAGAATAATAATATTTATATTTGTTTTTAACGGCATTTTATGTGGGTTATACAAAATATATAAAATCCCGCGTATACCGGGTATTTTGAAAATATGGTTTTCAAATATTTGACATATTGTGACCGGGACTTTTGTCCGGAGGCATTCTATGTCTGGTACTCAATTTCATATTATACTGTAAATTCTCACAAAATTTACCTACGAACGATTCATTAAACAAAATATATGTAAAATTACAGGTACCCGAAAATTGCCTTTTACCAGGGTTTTTTAAGATTTTGCCCCCGCGGCGGCATTCTTTAGGACAGCGTGTCCGGAAAGGGGCCCGGCATTCTAAGTTTCAGTCCGTCACTATAATTATATTGGGTTAATTATTTTACAGATATATTTTGGGAAATAATTTTGGGAAGGAATTGTGGGGAATCGCTTTGGGGAGTAGTTTTGTGAAACAGAATTGGGGAATAATTTCGGAAATCAGGAGCAGCTTTGCGCGGTAACTTTGAATAATAGCTAGTGGTAGCAACTTTGGACCTTTGGGCGTAGTTTTTGGGAGTCGGTTTGTAGAATGGCTTTGGGAAATTATTTTGGTAAATAGGTTTGCAGACTCGTAGCTTTGGGGTAATAATTTTGGAGAATACTTTTGGGACTTAATTTTGGAAAATTTTCCGGACTAATTTTGAGGCAGCTTCGGGGAACATCTTTGGAATTTTGGGGAATTTCTTTGGGAAATAATTTGTAGTAATATTTTTGAAACGTATTATAGCTAGCTTAAGGAGAGCAATTATGGGGAATAATTTTGGGTTTTTGCAATAATATTGATAATTGATAATTAATTATTTTGAAGAATCGTAATTTTAATAAATAATTTAAAATAATAATTTTTGATATTTTTTTGGAAATAATTTTCGGGAATTTAAGTAATTATTCGGAGTAATTGTCGATAATAATTTTGGGTAACTAGTAATGATTTGGGGAAATAATTTTGTGGAGAAGATTTGGGGAATAAATTTGGAAAATAGGAAAAAAATATATTAATTTTGGAATAATTAATTATAATTTATTATAGTTAAAATATATATGAAATACCGTATTTATTTCCCTTATATTTCCTATATTTCCTTTTCAAAATTAATATATATTTAAATATATATTTTTTTATTTTTTATTTTTTATTGGTTCTTTTAAATGTTGTCGTCGAAATAATTAAAAATATATTTGAAATTCTTCTTGGTTTATTTTATTTTTTATTTATAATTTGAATTAAATAATTATTAAATATAAATATATAATTGTTGTGTTTGTAATGGCAGATGATTTCGGTCCAAATATTGTCAATACCGGAATTATAAAACGGAAATTGAATAGTACGAAGGTACGGTTATTTACCGTACCCTGTTGATTTATAATTCTGTTTTCCTCGGAAGGTGGGAAAAAAAATTGTATCTGAATTTATTCCTAATTTTTTTCGTCGTTTTATAATTCTTGTCG